AAAATTATAAAAATTTACTATAGTATTAATAAGTAATTATAACTTCTAAGTTGGTAAAGTTAATAAGTTCACTAGCTAGATTCGAATGCACAACCCTACAATGGCTATATGCCTTCACCATTTTATTATAGTAGATACAATTGTAAAATTTTTTGTTGTACAGTTTTAAAGATCAATTTTTTTATCAAAAATTTCTAATAAGATTAAAACTTCTTATGTAATCTAAATTAAGGTTTGTTATATTTAAGGAGTATGTATTATATTGTATAATCTTTGTTTTGTAAAAAAAAATTTTCTTTTAATAATTATCAAATAATAAGAACTTTGTTGAAAATACATTATTCCACTTTATATTGTCAGACTTATACTCAAAAAGTAAATAATACTCAAGCTTTTTATGAAGCTTTAAATTTTGTCCAAGCTATGAATAGAAAGTAATAATAATAATAAATATAAAAATAGTATTAATATTAAAAAAAGGATAATTATTTTTGGTGCGGAGGTGCACTGTGTGCAGGGTATCACAAGTGGTTATACAGATCTACAAAATAAGTATATTTATCTATATTATTTTATCTGTTTAATATTATTTTATCTGTTTTACTTTTTTTTTAGATAATATTGTTTTGCTGTACCATTATTTGTGTGGTTACATTTTTTCTTGGTATCATCATTTTTTAGAGCTATCATTTCTCTGGCACTATGTCTCTTTGGAGTTGTCATTCGTTGGTGTTGTTAATTTTTGGAGCTGTTATTTCTCTGGTATCAGGTTTCTTTAGAGATATTTCATTGGTGTCATCGCATTTTGAAGCCATTGTTTCTCTGGTGTTGTATCTCTTTAGAGTCATCATTTTGTTGGTGTTGTTGCATTTTGAAGCTGTCGTTTCTTTGGTATTGGGTCCCTTTGGAAACATTTCGTTGGTATCATCGCATTTTGGAGCCGTCGTTTCTCTGGTGTCATATCTCTTTGAAGTCATCATTTCGTTGATGTCGTTACATTTTTTCTCTAGTATTGTTGATTTTTAGAGCCATCATTTCACTGGTGTCATTTTGGTATCATT